CATATAGTCCTGGCTGTCATGTAGTTTACATTTTTGTAGGGGAGGGGGAAAAAATCCAACAACTAATTGCACATTAAATTACAGTTGTGAAATGTGCACTAAAAGAGAGGTAGTATATCATGAAGCAAGGGTGTCCTGATTTAATCTGGAAAATTAGAGAAGTCATCCTTGAGGCAGTTACTGTTTTGAGCTATAATAACATGGGAAAAACAGAGCAAGACATATGCAAAGATATGAAGGCAGAAAGAGAATGACATCTTTAAAACTAGAGGAATATCAGTGCAGCTGGAGAGGAGACAGTGGGATTGGCATAAGATTGAGAGAACAGGTAGACAGGAGTCAAATTATGGAGGCCCTGGTAAGGATTTTGGTCTTTGTCCTAAGGGAAAGGGAAAGCCTTTAAAATATGCTATCACTCTGATACCATATATGCATTTTAAAAGTCACTCTTAGCTGTAATGTAAAAAAGGTATAAGGGAAGTGCAAAGATGCTTAGGAGAGACTAGTTAAGAGAATGTTACTGGAACTAAAGTAATAGCCATGAAAACAACTGGTCGTGTTGGAAAGATATCTAGAAGATGAAACTGAAAGAACTTAGTGATTGTTTAGATATAATAAGATAAAGAAGAAGGAGATGCCAGCACATGCTAGAGGAAGACTTCTAGTCTCCTGGATTAATGGTTTCATTGACTAGGTAGATGGTTGTACTATTCATCAAGATAAATATCTCTGGAGAAAGACTAGCTTTTTTTTTTTTGTGGGACAGCAGTGATTGTCATGATGGAGATTGTAAGTTCAGTTTGGGACCTTTTGACTTTGGGCTTTCCTCTGGAACATCCAAGTAACAATGCCAAATAGGCACTTTGGCTATTTATCTGGAGCTCAGAAGAGAGGGCTGGGCCAAAGGAATAAATTTAAAGCCATAGACATTTAGACGGTTAATTGAATATATAAGTATGGATGAGATTTCCTGGAGAGAGAGGTACATCTGGAAAGAAAGTTACCTTGAAAACAGCCTTAGGTCACTTTAATGTTTGTCAGCTGAAGAAGCAGATAGAAGAAATCGAGACGGCTTGAGTAGAGGAAGGAGGAAAATCAGCAGTGTCATGTCTTGGGAGCCAAGTGAAGAGAGTTTCAAGAAAAAAGGAGAGGTCAGCTGTGTGGAAATTGAGGATCAGGCTTGTACTATAGAAGTACCAGTTGCTTCCTTTACACTTCTTTGAAAATAATGAAAACTACTCCATCTGAAACAAAAAGAGTAACAGTTGGAAGACTACATAGGCCAAGACTTACAGATTCAAAGGGAAGATTTAGAACAAGTAGAAATCAGTTTTATTCTAGTGCTAGGAGTAGAGTGAATGAATTAAAACTATTTCTGTTCTCTGCTCAACAATTCACAGCCCAGGAGGAAATGTCCAGGAAGCACAGCTTAGGACATGTCCCCACGTCTTGGGTAGGCGTGGGTACGAACCTGGTTAATTGTTCCAACAGATTGTATTTCATGGGGGAGAGATAGTGCTTCAAAAGGTAGTCCAGAGCAATGATACCAGAAGGAGATAGACAGATAGACTGTCAGAGATTGTTCAAAACATCCTTTTTTTTTTCTTTTTTTTTTTGGAGCATTTCATCAGTTTGGGGAGCATCTGCTTAGTGATCAGATGAAGAATGGAATATTGGAAAAAGATGTTTCTTCGATTTTGGCCAGGTTACAGATTGGGTAGGGAGCAGTGGCTTGCAGAGGACAAGCAAGAAAAATGGGGAACTAGCTTTCAGTGTGAAGGAGGCCTCTGTCTGCATACCAGGAACCAGTGAGTCCTCTGCCCTCCCCAGGCCTCCTCTCCTTAAAGAGAAGACATTCTGTATTGGACCTCTTGCGTCAGGTATCTCTTCTCTTGGTGCTTTCTCATTTATGAATTAATTATTTGATAGAGCTTTTATACTTCATTATAGCCTGATGTCTTAGGAAGGTTTTACTTTTATAGTTCCAAGACGTTACATTCTCTTTTCTAGGGAGTCTTTCTCATTTAATTTGGGGTGTACCTAACAATAATCACTATAATGTATTCAGCATATAAAATCTATCCCTCAATATTATATCTATATATGAATAAAAAGAAGAGTTATATGAACCTGGTAGGATGACCTTTATTTCTCTTTATTACCTACCCAGCCTTCTTTACTGCCGTTCCTTCAGCTCATTTTTCCATTTACATTTTATTGAATGGTTATGCTGAGTCATTGTTAATGTCCTAATCTACCAATACTGATCACGTACTTATCAGAAGTTCAAGTAATTGGTATTATACTCTTATCTTCTTAATTAACTGATCTTTAAGTATTGAAACTGTATAAAACAGGCTTTTATAAACCCTCTTAAATCCCCAAGTTATTTTAGATTAACATAAGCAGTCTTATTCCCACAGTCAATCACCTTTAACATTTGAATACAAAATCACTGTCCCTGAAGTGTTTGGGGACCTATAGTTTTGAATAGATTTTTGTAGTATTTTAGAGTTGCTTAAGTGTTTGACATAATTTGGTGTGTCATAAAATTTTGTGTCTTAGGAACTCTCAAATAGTTTAAAAAAAAAAAAAGGAAATAAATAGTTAACTTCTAAGCATTTAGTGTACAGTAGAAATGGAAAAAGTCCACCAGGCTTATTAGAACTGACATGAAACAAGACCAAGGTATTGGAGTGGTTTTCTTAATGAAAATGAGCATCTGATAACTTTTTTTTCTTCCTTTTTGGTTTTCAGCTTTGCTTTAAATCAGTGATATTTGCAACTGTAGTAATATGTTGCATTAAAAATTCATGACAGCGAGGTACTTTTATACTAGAAAAGGGAGTAGTATAGCAAGATGGTTTTTCATTTTTGTTTCATAAACCCATGCTGATAAACAATGCTTGCATTAGATTTATAACACTAACTATATAAACCATTTCCTTTCATATCTAAGAGTTTCTTTACAACTTTTTGAAAGATAGTGCAGGTTTTTTACTTGCAGTTGGCTTTACAAATTTACATTTTCACAGCTAGAAAGCAGTGTGACATGATAGAAAATGTGCAAGAGCAGTATATCACTTTTTTATCTTTTGCCGAAACATCACTTCAGCATAGTCTTATTTATGGTGGGTAGGACTATGGCTTTGGAACAGGTCTGATCTGATTCAAATTCCAGCTTTTACTTTCCCAACTATGTTATTTGGGGCAGATTACTTTACCTCTCTGAGCTTTAGTTTTCTTACCTGTAAAATGGAGTAATAGTGCTTGCTTTTCATGGTTGCTATGGGAATTAGATAGTGAAAGGAGTCCAGAAAAGTACCTTGCTGGTAGCAGCCGTTCAACAAATGTTAGGTCTTTTCTCTTTGCTGGGTAGATTTATTTTCCTTCTAAGCAACTCAAGTGCTTGTATAAATAGATTAATGAGAACTTTTTTAAAACTTAGATTTGATATGACTTCAAGACCTTATTTAAAACAAGTTTGTCATTAAAGACCATCAGCCTAGCGTAGGACCAGCAAAATGTAATGAGGTATTTGAAAATGGTGAAAGTAGCCTGATAAATTTAGAGGCTTCTTTAAAATAAGATCAAAACAAATAACAGAAGAAAAAACTTGGTAAAAAGTAAAGTTCCTCCCTGAGCTTTGAGGCCTTTATGTAGTTATCTAAGGCATTTCATACATTTATAAGCTTTGCTTTTAAAGACAGTGTTTAGCATCTGTTCTTCCTCAGAGTACCTGCTATGCATACCACACACTCAGTAGCAGCCGTAATAGCTACTGTGCAACATGCCTTACTCTATTTTTTCTTGAACTTATAGAATTCTATACTTAAAAGATTTATTTCTCCAGTTACGATATTTGAAATTAGTAAAATTTCTTAATTTATCACATTTTACATAGGACAGCCCTTGCTCTGTTTGATTAAATTTGGCTCCACGTCCTGACAGTTTCTGTCATTAAATGAACATTGATGAAGAAACCAAAACGTCTAGGGAGCTCTGCTTCGAGTTAGGTTACAGAGATGATGATCTGTTAGTATCTAAATGCCAAGGAAGAGGTAGAAGCAGCGCCATGAAGTGCTTGAAAGGAACAGTTAGTTATTTCCAGCTGGAGAAACTGGAGAAAGCTTTAGAGAGGGAGTTGCATTTGAATTTGGCCTTGAAGAAGAGAAGCTTAGCTGGATAGAAGGAGGCGTCGGGAAGCAGGCAATGGCTTTGTAGGCAGAGGAGATACAAGACTAAAGCACGAAGTGTGTGGCATGTTTAAGGAGCAATGAATAGGTTGGTATGGCTGGAACCTTAGGAGGTTTGGTTTTGTTTGCTAAGAAATGAATCTAGAAAGGTAGAATTAGGCCATATTATGAAGTTTCTTAAGAGCTGTTTAAAGGAGGCAGGACCATATTCTGTAGCATAACTCTAATACAAACAAAATGTAGTGAGCTCTGTGGTTTTGGTAAAAAATCTTAGGAGCGGCAAGAAGAACAAAATGAAGAATAGAGGAACTAAAAGCCCAGAAATCACTTAGGAGATTATCGGAATAGTGAAGACAGAAAAATCACAAAGATCTAGTTGGGCTTCCACAGGATAGCTGTAGAAATCAAAAGAAGACTGAATTTAAATGATGTTTCTGGGTCACAGATCTTGGTGACCAAATGTTGAAATAAGGGTAAAGGAGGAGTCAGAGAAGACTTCGGGGTTTCCAGACATAGCGATGCCCATTAACAAAGGTTGAAAGAGAAATTTCTTTGAGGGCGAAATGAGAGTACATATTGTGAAGGACTTGATAAAGCAAAGTTTTCAAAATTTCTAGTGCTCTCTAAGCTGTAGCACTGGTGGCTTTTTGTCTCATGCCATAGGAAAGCTCACGTTTCAGGTTGCTCTATGTAAGAAGATGTTTGTACATGTTATAGTTATGAGGCTTAACCTGAGATGTTTGAGTTTTTGCAAGTTTGTTACACCATCTTTTTAACATGAGAGTACCACAAATCACCTTTTAGTCTTCAAGAGACCTACGAAGCTAAAAGACATGAATTTTATGGTGAACGACAGAGGAAGGAAGAAGAAATGAAGCAGATGTTTGTGCAGCGAGTAAAGGAAAAAGAAGCCATACTGAAAGAAGCCGAAAGAGAGGCAAGTACTCTGATGTGATGGGATTTGCATTTTTTAAAAGGTGTCCTATTAAATTTGGGATGTTTATCTCAAGAATTTCATGGCGATGCTTTTGGAGACTACTTGTTATTCTTTAAAAAGTAGCTATTTTAACACATAGTCTTTGGATATAAACCTAAAAAAGTCATAGTCTGAAATCAAATAAAAATTTTAGTCTTTATGAGTAAATGGTCTTTCTTTAAAAGTGGTTTACCAAGGACTTGTAATGGACCAGTTTACTAAGAAGAGTTTAATATGTCCTAACCATGAGCCAGAAATGTTTTAGCTCTGGCTTGATAAAGCCTTTTTTGAGAGTTGTCGGAATTCTATTTTGTCATAAAATTAGTATCTATGAGAGCTGTTAAATAGCTTTCTGGGTTTGAACTCAGGCTTTCTGGGTGAGTTAAATAGTCTAGATGATAGCCTTAGCACAAAATACTCAGCAGTAAATTTCTATAGTTTTATTTGCTTCTCGTTCTTCAAGCAACAATTTTAGTTTTATTTGTGTTAAACTATTTTCTGTAGACCTAACTGCAATGGCTACTTTTAAATGCCACATTTAAGATGAGGGTCAAAAAGGATGTAAAAAAGAATTTCTAAGAAGACAGAAATGTTAATACAAATGACCTTCATAACACAAGAGTTCCTGAAGAGTTATTTGAAAAGTAACTTAATTTTACAAATTTGTATTATTTCAAGTTTACTTTTAGTATTTGATATTTAAATGAATCCTATAGTAAGTGGTTTTATAAAATTAATAATCTTACGCATCTTATGATTTGAATTTTGATCTTTTATTTTGAAAAAGTTTAAATAACAGGAAAGTGAACATACAGAGTACCCCTGTGTTCCTCCCTGCACCTAGATTTAGCAGTGAACGTTTTGCCATGTTTTTTCATGTGTGTATGTATCCGTGTGTGTGTGTGTGTTTCCCTGGTCGTCTGAAAGCTGGTTGTAGACGTCATGATGCTTTATCTCTAGGCACATCAGTGTGCATCTCTGAAGCTTAGGTGTATCTTCTTCCATAACCATAGTACCAATATTATACCTAAGAAAATTGCTAGGAATGTCATAATCTCACCTAATCTACTCCATATTCAAATTTCTCCAGTTGTCTCAAGATTGTCTATTATTGTTTCTTTTTGTTTGGTGATTTTTTGGTTTTGAACTGGAATTAAATCGCAGATCTCATGTTGCACTTGGGTGTTCTGTTCACTTAGTCTCTTTTATTCTAGAATAGTCCCTAGTTTGGAGTTACTTTTAAATACAAATTTTGAGGAGAGAGTCATGATAAGTAGGAAATAAGAATGCTGATTATTTTAAATTAGAATCTTTAAGATGGTAGTAAAGAAACTCTCTCAATACTTTATCTCTCATGTATCATGATTCTTAGTTTCTCCAATGAGGAGAGAAGATATAGAAGTGGTTTACTATTTGTCAGAAGGTGCTTTATAGATTTTCGTTTTTGTGATTCAAGTGCTTTTTTTGTGTTGAGTATGAATTAAACTAACAAAGAAGTTACTTAATTTTCAACCTAAGGCACCAGCAACCAAAGTTGTCACAGGAGCTCCAGACTTTTAATTATATAGATTTAGAGGCAGTAGATTACTGGCCTGCTTCATAAATATTACAAAGTATCTTATGATCCATTTTCATGCTGTAAAGCCCATGTATACTTTAGAATCAGGGTTAGTCTGCTGAAGAAAGGCATCTAGTCAGTCGATAATCATCACTCTATGAGACCAGAATCATCAATCGAAGGACTAAGAAAGACAGTATAATTTTTTTTGCCTTAATTAGAATGGTTTTAAAGGGAAAGGAGGCTTATTAATAATTACAGTGGGACAACAAGCAGTCGTAAACCAGTTTTCTTCTGGGCAAACCAGGACATTTGGCCACCCAATATTTGACTGCTAAATTTTTTAAGATACTTATATCAATGAGTTTCTGGCAGTCACTAATAAAAAGATAATTTTGGTAACCCAAAACATTATTTAATTCTGTATTAGAGGGCCTTGTTATTTACAGTATCCTTGCCAATATTTGTAAAACAAATACCTCTTAATTTATCTTTCGTATAAACCTGACAAATGTGAACGTTAGATAACTAGAGCAGGGACATGCACAGAACAAATGTTATCTCAAAATACTGTTTTCTTTTCTACATTTTTATTAACATTATTCTAGATGTATTAGTGAGGCATGTTATTATATATATGACATATTTTCCATTCTTCTACTCACACTACAAGAAAAAGTACACAGTTTATATTTGTCCTTCAAGTAAAGCATATAACCATCATTAAATCATTACTACTTCCCCATTTTATATGAGTTTATTTCTTCACTAATTTTTTATTTAATATCAATGTCTCTCCTGTTTCCACAAGTATTCTAGATGATTGTCAATTAAAAAAAATACAGATGTTATAATCCTGAACACGGGAGTACAAAAAGCCTTCTAATACAGGACAGGAAGGAGGGGTTTGCACATAGGTGCTGCAGAGAGCCCTGGTGCAAGGTAACTTCTCAGTGAACACAGGGACAGCTCGCCTTCCAGGCAGTTAAAGCAAAAAGGGGCCACGGTGAGGTACAAAGCATGGATTAAAGATACTAGTTCAATAAGAGAAGAATGTTGTTTCTAGCATTCATTTCTAAAAATGGATACTTTTAAAAGGATTACTGAACAACAGAATGTACAATATCCTTAGAAGTAGTGTTTATAGAAGATACAGCAGTGTACTATATTGGTAATTGATTCTTGCGAGCATTAGTGAGTAGTTATCAACAGCACAGAGAGCTCCTGTTTTTAACTTTTTTGATTAGTATTTGAAAATGTGTTTGAATTAAGTGCCTGTCATAGTGAATAATGGAACCATGAGTGAGTGCTTCATATATATGGAATAGATTGTTTTTATTTATTGTTTTTATCTTTGAACTCCACATAATGTGAATAAGTCACATTCACAACTTTCCCCTTTTAAAAACATTTTTATTTTTATAATTTTCTGGAATTTTTAGTCAACGTCATGAATAATATAAGAAGTACTCTATAACCTTTCAAGATATTTAAGTATGCATATGCATATAAAGTGTGCATTAAAGTGATCAGAGGTATATATATCTATTCACATAACATAGATCTGCCCCTGTATCCTCCCTTTCCAAGCTTTACCCTCCCTGCCACTCCTCTCCCAAATTTTAGGGGATGCACACATGCTCAGAGAGCTGCCAACTCTGTTTATACAACTGATTTGAATGACAACTAGGTGAGTTCCACCCTTTAAATACACACACACATAACATATATATCTTTTTATAGAAGCAGGAACCATTTAAATAAGCAAGTACTAAGGAACTGATGCTTCTCTAAAATGACATCCTCAGGAATAAAAGGATCTTATGGTAAAAGGGCCTTAATCTGTTTCAACCTTATTCCATCTCCATTTAAATACTTCTCCTATCAGGAGTTTATTAGGATGTTTAGCTCTCTCCAATTTCTACCCTCAACCTCTAATTTTTAGTGAAGTATTTCCTCAACTATTATATGCCGTCTTTTCTAGAAACCAAGTTCTGTTTTTTGTATGAATGCTAAGTTGCTGCCCAAAACTGAAAATACTAATTTAAAGTTTATCTAAACAGACCAGAGCATCAAAAAGAAAGTTATCTTTTTTGGTCTAGATATAGATTCTCTACTTGTGTTCATGACAGGCATGACACACAGCTGATTCATATGGATTCCACTCAGGTCTCTAGACTTTTTTTTTTTTTCAGATAAACAGCAATTAAACCAGGGAAATCTGATGTTGTAATGTTACAGACTTTTGCAAAATTCATCTTAATGGCTGCATTGAGTGTATTTAGCATAAATTTCTTTTTTTTACTTTATTAGACACGGGCTATTTTTTTCCATTATAGTGTAAATTCTAGTAAGGTGAGGATAAAACTTTTTCTGAATTTAGGATTTCTTGATTTTTAAGTTTCAAGAAGATCAATAACTTTAGGAAAATATAATAGACTTTTAAGGTTCTCGATTTCAGTTGACAGTTCATTCTTGCTTTCCAAACAGGTTTACTACCAGTATTAACTTTCAACAACTGTTTCACTACAAATAACTTTATTCGGAAAATAGAGGGGTTTTTTTTCCTTTTTGATAACTTGCTACTGTAATTTGTGTCCCTCCCTTTTATTGGGCATGGATTTTAGAAACTTTATCTGAAGAGGTTTTATGGAGAAGCTGTTAAGCAAGAAAATAAAAACTCCAAGGAAAGATGAAGTGTTTTAAAAACAGGTTTGTTCATGAGGGTTCATGGGTTTTTAATACATTTTTTTCTCATTTATTACATGGGAACTTATTTAAAATTAAAGTTACTAAGGCAATTCCACATATACATTTTTTTCTCAAAGCATGAACTTTGGAGACAAGGAAATTGTTTATAATACTGTGCAAGTTTCATGAGCAGTTGTGTTTCTGGGCCAGAGAACATTCCTATGCATTTGCTGCCTTCCGTGTCATTAATGGGAACCCTCATCTTTGCTTCACAGCTGCAGGCCAAATTTGAGCACCTTAAAAGAGTTCACCAAGAAGAGAGAATGAAGCTTGAAGAAAAGAGAAGACTTTTGGAAGAAGAAATCATCTCTTTCTCTAAAAAGAAAGCTTCCTCCGAGATATACCAGAACCAGACCTTTATGGCAACGGGCTGCAACCTGAAGAAGGACAGGGACCGAAAGAAGTAAGCCACCCCCATCCGCCTTGTCTTGGTAGCCCCTCCCCATCACTCTGCCTCATTCCCCTAGTTGGTCTTCGTAGTGCTTCTTACTGCCCGTTTCCCTATTCGTAGGCCTCCTGTGACTAAAATGTCAGCTCCTTGAGAGCAGAGACCTTGTCCCTCTTGCTCACTGTCGTTGCCCTAACATCTAGAATAGCACCTGGCACATATTAGATGCTCAGTAAATATTTCGCAAAATTAGTGAATGAAAGAATGGATGAACAAAATAAAAATACATCACAGTGTAAAAAGGGCCAGTTGCCTGGGGGGAAAAAGTGGCCGCTTTTATTTCGGTACCAGGCCTGTGGCTCTAGTACACATTTAACAACTACTGACCTACCGTTAGTTACGTTGAATTTCATATGTAAATGGAAGCTATATACTTTGTCGTTGAATCATAGATGTAAAATAATACTTGATAAGCTAATTCTTAGGTTCACTTTTTTTTAACAAATTCTACTGATAATGATTTTGTGAGAATTTTTATTTTAATAAGGGAACCAGGCTATCGATTCGAATTCCTGTGCTTTGATGTCAGAGCCTGTGAAACCAATGGTGGACGTAAAGATGCAGAGGAAGGTAGAGAGGGCCCCAGTACAATGGGGTGGCCATGAGTAGCATTTGGATGATAATCTCAAGGCTTATAGGTTTGGGGTATGTGTTCAATCAAAGTTACCAAAGTTTTAGAAAATAAGTTTTTTTTCCTCTTTTGTACTGTGTACTTCATTTTATTTCCCACTTAAAATGTCCTTGTCAGTTTGCCTCCTTGACTATTCTTGAAATTCATCATTGACTTGTTCTGTTGAAAATGCTTCTTTTTGGGTTTTTGCCTCAGTTTACTGCAACTATCTCTGCTTTAGTGACATCAAGTCCTCTCCTTACGTTCTTCCCAGAGTAAAACTTCTGGTTTAATTTTATCGCCACATCTTATTTCAAACCCAGCGTTTTCAGAATATTGTAATTTAACTTCAAAATAGTTAGGAAAACATAATGTTGATCCATGGTAGCTTCCCATTTTTGCAATAAATCCACAAGGTTTTGGTGTGTTTAATTGACCTGTGGATGTTATAGTTTGGGGGAGAAGAAAGAAAAAAAAATTATGTATGAACTTCTAATATAAGTTCTACAAGGACATTGTCTGTGTTTGTTCATGAATGTATCCATCCCCAGAGCCGAGCACAGTGCCTGCTACATACATAGTGGGCATGCAATTATTTGTCAAACTCATGAATATGATTTATAATAGCTATGTTTATTCAGGCATTGAATTTCAAAAGATAAACTATAAATATATTTATTACTGCTTTTCAGTGTTTTGAATTATAGAGCTAAGAGACTTTTACCTTTTTATCTTAATCCAGTGTTAATAAAACTGGATTCCCCTCTTTCATATATGAAAGATAATTTACATTTACCTTGTAGAAATTGGTACCCTGCTCCGTTTGAGAACCATTGGTATGTGCTGTTGTTTACAATATCAGGGACAAGCCCATAGTTTTTTGAGAACTCAGAATTCATCCTCAAGAAAAGAGAGTTTGGTGGGTTTTTTTATTTTTTCCCTTTCTAGAGTTCATAGCTATATAACCCATAGTATATTAGATGTTTATTTGCTCTTTCTGGAAAAGCTTTATAAAACTAATGATTCTAGTAATTTTTATTTCCTGTATGGTTTATTGTACCAATCAAAAGGGTTGTTTTTTTTTTTTTCTCTTTCCAGCTCCAATTTTATGTAAAACAAAGGTTCCAGATCACAGAAGGTCATCACAAGCAAACGTTATTAAAATGTTAGAAGTATGCTATGATTTTCTTGCTGGTTTTATTTGCTCTATCAATTATTCTGTATCTGGCAAGTGGCCACAGTTATGGCTACTTATGGAAAAATATTTTTAAGTATAAGGTCAATACATTAGCTAGAGTAGCTGATAGTATTTATATATTCACTTGTTAGAAGTTTTAGAAGTTTTAAGTTGCTGGTTTATGATGAATCTATGTTGTTTTTCCAGCTGCCTACTTATTGTTACTTTTTAAAGCATTATATCACAGACCAGTGTCAGTGCCATTGAAAATATAAAACTCATTCATATTATGGCTGATTGCATTTATATTCCAAGTTGAAACTTTTTTGTATATACTAAAGGTAAAATTGGGGGAATATGTTTTAAAATGTATTATGTACCTGAAACTAACCTCTCAATAGTTTTATAGAACTTTTTAATTTTTATATAATTATCCAATTGATAATATGATCCTAAGCTTTTGTATCAAATTTTATATAATATGATGGCCTTCCATGCCTCAGTATGCCTTATTGTGGTTGATGTAGTATAGTGAGGAAACAAAATACGTTTAAAAGTAAAAACATCCAGGTATATAAATCATTTTTCTAGCGATAAGTACCTTGGAACTTGGCTATTACCACAGTATATTCATTAGGATATATTGCATGCTGTCTTCCGGGGGAAAAAAATAAAGTTGAATCATCTTATTAAAAATATTTTCTAAGAAAATAACTGAACACCTGAATATTAAAATATAAAAATTTAGATAATTCATATCTCAAAGGATATTTAAATTCAGTGCCTTAGTATTCTCAGCACAATTTTTTTTAAGTCATAGGATTATAATTTTTTATTTTTTTGTACTTGAATATTCTAAATAAAGCTGACATTTACTCTTGACAAGTAAAATATATCTACATATTTACTAAAATATGTTTAAATTACTTTAACTTTTCTTTTTACAAACTGTCATCGTAAGATACAGTTTATCAAAATTAGTTCATTTAATTATATGTTTGAATTATTTTAAGACAGGTATTTTTCATACAACAAAATGTTTAACTTAGCCTATGTCAGATTCTGAACAGTGTTTTTTTCATGAAGTTGTACAAGTCGCAAATAAAACCTTATATTTTGTAGCACAATTTATCTGAACAAATACTTTACATTTTATTTTTACACTTGAAATTCACAAATGTCTCTTAGTCTTTTAAACCTTTAGTAAAGTAAGTTATAAGTATCACAGAAAAAGCTCTGAACTTTCTTCTCAGGATCAGTAATGCCCAGTTTCTGGAAGGTGGGAGCAGGAGAGTCGGTGAGTCCCTGAGGGCAGGTAGCATGTCGTACAGCGCCCAGCCAGTGCCACAGCGCTAAGTGTTACCCAAGGAGAGTGTCATCCCAGAAGCTCAGTGACGTGATGTGAACGGTGGTTATTTGTAGCCATACTATAGCAAACTCTGTATAAAACAGCTATTCTAAACTTTAATAAAGTTACTTTTAAATGCCAGATTGGTTGTTGGCATGTTAAAACAAAGTTATTCAACTTTTAGTTGAATAGATTACGGACAGCTGCCTAAGACTCTGCACTTAACAGAAGGATAGTCATTTTGTACTATACTAATGAGTCTGCTTTGAGAAAGACACATTACATATGTTTCAACCACAACGTGAATCTTTAATTTATTTCATGTATTTGGGGTTCCATACGCAATTTTATTTTAGAAGAGTTACACGGCAAAAAAAAAACAACAAAAAAAACCCACTTTAAAAACAATTGCATTATAATGTTAAATTCTCCTTACAAAGTCCTTATTATCCACTGGTGCTTAAATTAATAAATTTCCTGGGAACAAAATTAAGCTAGAAATGTTTTTGTTTAATTTTTTTTCCCATAAAGCACGTGACACAGAATTGCCTCTCACTACCAACCATTAAGTTTTGTATGTACTACTCTGATTTCTAAAGCTCTTTCACATAAACTATGATTTCAGCTTTAAAACAACACAAAGGAAGCAGCATTACAGGTATTATTATTATCCCCATTTTGAAGAGGAACTCAATTTAGTCCCAATGTTCCTCTTGGGCCAGGAGGCTATCCATGACCTCACAGAGGGAGCATCCATAATAGTGACAAGACAGAGCAGATCGGTGCGTAGAGGACTCTCATGAGGGTTTTTTCCTGTACCACAGAGCACGAGGAAGCATCCAGGGATGTGACTGGGTTTTAAAAGATTAGAAGCAATTTTTCAGATGTAGAAATGGAGAAAGGCAATCCAGGTGCAAGGAATAGCATATTTTTGATAAACCTATAGACTCTGGAAAGTGACTAAATATGAATAGTGAGTACAGGGGAGATGTGAGGCATGAATAATGGTGAGGTTTTAGAAAAAGAGTTTGTAAGGGCAATCTGGCAGCCAGTGGGAGCCATGGAAAGATCTGACCTTGTGTGGTCAGATACTTCTCCAGAGTTCATGGGAAGATATACTGGGGGAGGAGGGACTATCGCAGGGGCAGGCCTACTCATCAGAGAGGCTACAGTCTAGGCCCGTAGTTCTTAACACTGAGTATACAATAAAATAACATAAGTGATGTTTAAAAAAAAATACTGATGCAGAAGGGAATGTATAGTAATGGTGGTCATTATATGGATAAATCTGATGACTATAAAACAATGTGTCTCATGGAGTTAGAAATACATAAAGAACTAAAATATAACATTACAGTGGCATATAAGTTGGAAGAGCAGGGTTAATCAAGTGATCTAAGGTTCTCATGTTAACTGGGAAGAAGATAAAAGTCCCAGTCAGCCAGGTAACGTGAGACTTAGTAAGAGCGCATTCAGGTGTGGTGAACTATAATTTTTGAGTAGTAGAAAGAAAAATAGTCTAATAAATGGTAAGCCAAAAGAAAACAAGAAAATAAAGGAAATAAGATAGTTATGACAACCAGAAGACATTTAGTAATTTGGTAGATTTAGACCCAAATAAATTAGTAATTACATATACTTCATGGTCTAATTTCCTTTGGATAAAAGTTTTTAAAAATCAGCAGTATACACTTCACAAGAGGGGTCTAAAACTTTCTGTCTTTATAGACAAGATAAGAAAAGGAACATCTTGCAAACCCTAATCCAAAGCTAATGTGTAGCTATATTTTCTATATATTAAAAAAGTTTTAAGACAAAAAGCATCGTTATGGATGAAGATGTACACTTCAAATAACAGAATATATAACAATTCCAAATGTGTTTGTAATGTAGTAGCCTCAGCATATTTAAAGCAGGAATTGAAGAGAATACATGGAGAAATAAGCGAACCCACACGGAGATTTTAATAACACCTCTTTTATATGATAGAATAAGCAGACCAAAAATTAGTATAGATATGGGACACTTGAAAACTTTTAACGGCCTTGGCCAGGTAAGCATATATAGAACAGTATACCCAAGAATCACAGAATACAGAATTTTCAAGTACACTCAGAACGTTTATGAAAATTGACTATGTTTAACTTTAAAGCAAGCCTCAATACCTTCTAAAGGATTTACATCATATGCACTGTGTTCTCTGATCATAATGTAATTGATAGAAATCAATAGCTAAAAGATTCTCGTACATTTCGATCTTAAGACATATACTTCTAAATAACCCATGGTCATAGAAGAATTCAAAAAGGAAATTAGAAAACACTTTGAACTGAATGATAATGAAAATACTGTGTGCTTGCAAGAAGTGGCTAAAGTCAAATTAGAGTCAAAATTAATAGTCCAAAATGCTAGTATTAGGAGGCAGGGAAAGGCTGAAACCAATGCTTTACACGTTCACCTCAAGCAGTTATGAAAAGAAGAGTAAACCCAAAGAAAAATAATAAAGAGAACAAGAATTAATGAAATAGAAAAAAATATCAAATGTTCTTATATTTAAGAGATTATTAAGGGTGATAAACCATGACCAGAAAGACCAAGAAGAATGAAAACAGGCATAGAATGGCTAAAATTAAAAATAAATAACCCAACACTACCGGAAAAAAAAAAAAAGGATATGGAACAACTAGAACACTCTACATTGCTGGTAGAAATGCAAAATAATTCAACCACTATAGTAAAGTTGAGTAGTGTCTTATACCCTCACCATATGTATTAGTTTTCCATGGTTTCTGTAACAAATTACCACAACCTTAGTGGCTTAAAATAACACAGTATTCTGACAGCTTCGGAGGTCAGAAGGCTGACCTGATCTCACGGGGCTGAAGCGAAGGTGTGGGCAGGGCTGTTTTCTAGGGCAGAATCCCTCTCTGCCTTTTCCAACTTCTTGAAGTTACTCAGTATTCCTTGGCTTATAACCTCCACCCCCATTTTCAAAGCCAGCAATATTGTGTCCTCACATTGCATCAGTCTGACCTTTTCCTCTTCCTCACTCTTCCACTTCAAAGCCCCTTGTGATCCTCTTTGACCCACCAGCATAATCTCATTTACCGATTAGATTAGCATGTAACCTAACATTCAAAGGGTCCAGAGATTAAGATCTTTAGGGGGATGGTCTGTTTGTCACGCCATACAACCTAGCAGTTCCAGTCTTAAAAAGTGTGCTCAAGATAAAGTATGTGTCCATACAAGGACTTGTACTTAAACGTTTATAGCAGACTTTTTCATCATCTGCCAAACTCAAAACAACCTGAATGTCCATCAACCGATGATGAACATATAAACAAGCTGTGGTTTATACAATGAAAAGGAACAAACTACTAATACACGCACAAACATGAATAAACCCAAAGGTATGCTAAGTCAAGGAAGATGCAAAAGGCTATATATACTGTATGACTCCATTTATGTGACATTTTGTCAAAGTGAAACTAAAGGGACAAATCAGCTGTGGTTGCCAAGCCTGTGGATGAGGAAGAGGGCACACTGGCTTTGATGGCACAAAGAAAGCTTTTGGAGTTGTGGAAATATCCCATGTCTTTATTGTGGTGGTTACATAACTACGTGCATGCGTAAAAACTTGTGCAACTGTACACCTGGAAATTTTTTACTAAATATAAATTACAACTCAATAAGCCTGGCTTTTTTCTTAAAAAATAGAAGTTAAAAGGCAAAAACAAGGGGAATGAAAAAATATCATTACAGATATTCTATTAGTAGAAATTAAAATGGCAATACATTTGAAAATAGAGAAGAAATGATAAATTCATTAAAAATACGGATATAAGAATGGAAAATTTCATAATAAAAGACAATCCATAATTAAAATCTACGTAAAAGGTCACATGCGCAAGGCCTCTCTGCCGCTGCTGAGATGCGTTACTTGCCTCGTACCAGCTGGCCGCCCTCGTGGGCAATACCTCCCCCAGCGCCAAGGACATTAAGAAGATTCTAGACAGCGTGGGCTTCGAGGCGGATGACGACTGGCTCAACAAGGTCATTGGTGAGCTGAACGGGAAAAAACATCGAAGACGTCATCCCCCAGGGGATTGGCAAGTGGGCCCCCGTACCCGCTAGTGGGGCTGTGGTTGTCACTGCAGCCCCACGATCTGCGGCTCCTGCTGCTGGTTCCGCCCCGGCCGCAGCGGAGAAGGACTAGAAGAAGGAGGAGTCGGAGGAGTCGGATGACGACATGGGATTTGGCTTGTTCAATTAGTGTCCCGCTCCCACAAATAAAGCCCTTTTTACGGAAAGAAAAAAATAAAATCGGCATAAAGGTTAGGCTGAGTTAACTATCCTGGAATCCTAATGACCATGTATTGAAGAAAGCCGTTCTTTCGCAAACTCCTTGTAGCAGGTGAAACAGGGCCCCACCCCAGAGATGCCCCTGCCCCAACCTCTGGAATCTGTGAATATGTCTCCTTGCCTGGAAAGGAAATTTTATAGATGTGGTTAAGGTTACAGCCTTGCAGTAGGGACAAAATCCTGATTGTCAAGGTGGGCCTAGTCTAATCATTCAGGTCCTTAAAAGTTGCGACCTTTTACCCCCGCCGCTGTGGTCAGAGCAGTGATGACCAAAGTAGGGTCCGAGAGCTGCAACATCGCTGACTTTGAAGATGGAGGAAGGGTCCGTCTTCTGAAGGGTCGCAGGCAGCCTTCAGAAGCTGGCAACCGCAAGGAAAGGGATTCTCTCATGGAGCCTCCAGAAGGAACATTTTGCTTTTAACCTGGTGAAATCAAAGTGAGACTTCTGATCACTAAAATGATAATATAATTTTGTAGTGTTCTTACCACTAAGTTTGTGGTAATTTGTAACAGTGGCAATGGAAAACAAATACGTTCTGCAAGAATAGGTAAAGGAAACATTCCCATACTCATAAAGCCAGAATGACTTTTCAAAGCCTAATAAGGACATTCTGAGAAAGGATAACTATAGTCTGATCTCATGCATGAACAGAAATGCAAAAATGCTAAACAAAATAACAAACTGAATCCAGGAATATATTTTTTAAAGTACCACATATCAATGTTGGTTTATTCCAGGAACATAAGGTGGTTGTAACGTGAAAAATTAATGTATCATAGCATGAACATTAAATGAAAAATTTATGATCATCCCTGCAGATTCAGAAAATATTGATAAAATTCAAATCTTTTCAAGATTTAAAAAACAGAAAAACTCTTAAAACACTGAATAGAAGGAAACTTTCTTAATTTGATACAGAATATTTGTTAAAAAAATAACCCATAGCAAGTGTCATTGGGGATGATGCTTAATGGGGACAGCTGAAGAATGGCCTCTGTCATCCCCTTTCATTAAACATTTTCCTGGAGATTGTAGCCACGGCAAGAGGGCAGAAAATAAAGATGAACTGGAAAGGAAGAAACAAAACTCAGAATTACAGGTTATATGGTTGTGTTTGCAGTAAATCCAAAGGAAGCTGTAAACAAAGTATTAGAATCCATGAATGAGTCTAGGAAGGCTGTGGGGTACAACAGCCTACCTAATAATTTAAGAATAGTGATAAGAATAGTTGCTCATGCAAGACTCGGATACCTAAAGTTTAAAAGTAGCTAATACTGTTCTATTCTCTGTGCAGAGCATCGTTTCTCCTGAAATTATATTCCTGACTGTGTCTCACTTGTGCCTTTCAGCCTCAACAGCTGTCCTGCATTTACTAGTTTGTACTCAGGCTCCTGCTCCCACACACCTATGCTAACTGTAGTTCAGGGTCAAGGTCAAGGTCAAGGTCTCCCACAAGGCCTACCCTCTCTTGGGTTCATGCAAATGGCCTTGTGCCTTTGCTAAGGCCCAAGAAGCTTTGCTTAAATGCCTGTCTGTGGACAAAGCCACTGCAAGCAGCAGTCACTCCCAAGATCGAAGGAGCATGTACCCTAAACCTTAAATTCTGCCCGTCTAGAACTGAAAAGCTGACTGCACAACTGGAAACAACCTGCAGGACACGAAGCCATGACACCCACCCATGTATCAAATCTGTGTTGCTAGGAGGCTGAATAATGGTTATTCCTGGTAGGGAGTGGTGCCCAGAGGGGACCTAAGGGGGAGATTCTGAGGTACTGGTATATTTCTTGATCTTGGTGTTGGTTATGTGGTTGTTAATGTTTTGTGACAATCCATCAAGCTGTACACTTATATGCGCACTTTCTGCAGTACTTTAACAAATATCTAGAAAGAAAAGATGGAGGGTGAGAGGGAGGGAAGAAAAGTACCCACATGGCGATGTCCATGCACCTGGTCCCACAAAACCTCACCATGAATTACTTCGATCTGCATTATCCATTCTCTGTGTTATTTCTCAATGTTCCTGACCAATGTCATAAATGTTAGAATTTGGGAGGGCCTAATAAATAGCCCCTAACTTCCTCATCTGAGTTCTAAAAGAAACAAAAAGAAAAATATGGCAACTGGAGACCAAATGTCACCTTTATCGCTGACAGAGGTTAAACTTAGTGTGCAAGCCAGCTGAGCCTGTTAAACGAAGCCCAGAATTAGGGTGAATCACCCTCACAATCACAGGCAGTGCTAGGTGAGTGCAGGCCTTTTCTACTTATTTTATCTACTACCAACTCACCTAAATTACCCAGCGTCAACCGGGTAAGACACGAAAACAAACTTTTGGCCCTAGACATCTCTATAGCAATGTCGAGGGCCAAATACTATGCTATAGTCATCCATTTATTCTGTTGCCCTCCCAGCTCTTAGTTGCTCTTAAAAGACTTAGCAATTTTCAGACAGCTCTATTGTCTATGTTCCTGTTTGAACCCAAGGAAGCAGGTGGACGTGTATTACTCTCTCCATTGGACAGGTAAGGAAATTGAGGCCTGAAGAAGTGAATGACCTCAGGTAACAGAGGCAGAACTGAAATTAGAATCTGGTCTTACCTGTCTCCTACTGTAACGCCATCTACTCCAGGCATTTCTAAGTCTTTCCAAGTGAACGGCAACTGTTTATCCACAACACTTGACTCTGACAGTCTCACACATCAACACAGGCTTCCCTATAGAAAGCATGTGTCCAAGAAGAAGTGAACTCAGTGGAATTTCTTTTGGGGCATCTGGAAACAGCTTATAATGTCCCTCGGGTTAGACAGAGGGGACAGCTTGCCTCCTCTTAGCAGAGCCATGTAGTATTCTCCAGGGCTTGTCCCTGTATTCCTCATTTATTTCTGTTTGTTCCTAATTTCTCACTGCAGACTTGTTAATTTCAGTGTTTTAAGGTGTTACCACACATAGAGAAAAATATTAGCTTTAAAAAGAGATGCTTAAAGAATGAAAAATCTTTAAGACTCAAATGAGTTTAAACAATGGGATTTCAGGAATATCAGATAAATATTTGAAAGCACGTCTTGCATTGTCATGTTATAGAAATTGATCAAAGAAAAGCTGATTTTCTGTACTGGTTAGAAATTATGTTTACTCATATGTAAACTCACAGTTCATATAACACGGTATCACTCTAATTATGCGTTTCTACTTGCTAAAAGCTCATTTCCTTTTTTAAAAAATGTTTTAAAGTTATTCTCTTTAAAAATTGATATCTGAATGTGACATTGAGTGGAGAATATCTTCGGAATGCAGACGTCGCCCCATGC